ACACACACACACACACACTAGTATAAAAATCTATTTTGAATCACAATTGATTTGGGGTATGAAGACTAGCAGAAATCTTTTATTCTCAGCATTCAAGGGATATGCTGGAGATTTGTCTCAATCTAAATGAGAACCAACTTGACACAGGGTCAGGCTCTACTACGCAGTGGTTCTCAACCTTGGCTGCACATTAGAATTACCTGGGAATCTTTTTAAAATCCTGATTTCTGGGCCTCATCCTCCGGAAATTCTGTTTCTTTGTTACTAATGTTGTGGCCCCACCCCATAACAAAGAAACAGAATTTCCGGAGGATGAGGCCCAGAAATCAGGATTTTAAAAAGATTCCCAGGTGATTCTAATGTGCAGCCAAGGTTGAGAACCACTGCACAGGAAAGAAACCAGGTGAGTCAGTTCACCCTGTCCTGGACAGGGCTACCCGGTTTTGCAAGAATGACCTCAGCTTAAGTAAATTAAGCATGTCTGGAAGCCACGTGTGGCCTTGAAGTGCTTGCTAAACAGTCAGCTTCCAGGTGCCTGCCTTATCAACCTATGCTTGCTTGTAAGAATGGAGGCCTTTTGACAATTTGTCCTATACTGAAATAGTTGTTATAAAGAGTCCTACACAATTTTAAAAAAATTCCCCCTATCTTCACAGTAGCACTGTAGATCATGAACTATTCATTATCATAATCATAACTGGCATCAGATATTTTTATTACTACTTTTCACAGTTATGATTAGATGTCTCACCCAAGGTCACACAGGAAGAAAAAGCTGGAAAAGGTTCAAAGACATAACTCAAACACAGTCTTACTTTCAACCATCCAACTTAGATATCTTTAAACTATAAAAGAACTTCAAGTCCTACTAACAGAGCCATTTCATAAACACATCAATTAGTAATATTTTTTCATTCTCTATAAAAGGGCCCTGAACCACAATAAAAAGATCTTCTAGCCCTAGCCGGTTTGGCTCAGTGGATAGAGTGTTGGCCTGCGGACTGGAGGATCCCGGGTTCGATTCCGGTCAAGGGCACATGCCTGGGTTGCGGGCTTGATCCCCAGTGGGGGGCATGCAGGAGGCAGCCAATCAATGATTCTCTCTCAACATTGATGTTTCAATCTCTTTCTCTCTCTCCCTTCCTTTCTGAAATCAATAAAAATATTTTTTTTTAAATATTTTAAACTACATAATCACTTCTTTCTAATTTTCAATCATGATACAGTTAGAAAATAGAAACATACAAAAAATAATTTCCCCCCCTGAACTTCTAACTAGTACAGCAGAATATTTTCTTTCAGTTTAGCCACAAAATTAAACTAGATTCCCAAAAGAACACTGCTGGAAAAAGTAATCAAATGGTATTTAATGCACTACCCTAAGAAAGTCTTACTTGCCAATGGCCTACAAACTATTTTGACAAAATTTCTACACAGATGCTAAGATGCCAGGTCTCATAATCCTATATTGTAGGTAAAATTAAAATAAAATGATTTCATGAAAAATTATCATGTTAGCTGAAAAAAGCAAACAAAAATACACTGTGATTACAACTACATAAACACATAAAAATATATACAGAAAAGCTAAATATAGTTTGTTCAAGTAACAAGATTACTTCTTTAACATTGTCTTTACTTAGTATTTTGCTATTCCTGTTACAATTTTTAAATTGAATGATTTATTAAATATAAGTATCTATATATATATAAAGCTAAGTGACCAATCATCTGATGGACCGACCAGCATAAAGGATGGCATATGCACTGGCAATCCTATCTAATAAAGAGGGAATATGCTAATTGACCTTCATGCTGTCAGAAAGATGGCCCATAGCCAATAAGAAGGGAATATACTAATTGACTGCCCCACCCTCAAAGGTGGTGGTGCCCACAGCCAATAAGGAGGGAATCTGCTAATTGACTGCCCTGCCCTCAAGATGACGGCACCCACAGCCAATAAGGATGGAATATGCTAATTGACTGCCACACCCTCAAAGATGGCGGCGCCCACAGCCACAAGATGGCGGCGCCCAGTCCCTTCAGCCCCGCTGGGGCAGTAAGCGCACAGCAAGGCCGGGCCCGCCTGCCTCCAGAGACCCCCAGTCCCCTCAGCCCCCCAGCTGCCCAGGGCAGGCCTGAGGTGCAGGCAAGCCTCAGATGGCGGCTGCCCAGCCGCCCAGGGCCGCCTGAGGCTCAGGTAACCAGGGCCGGCCAAGGCTTGCGCTGCCGGCAGTCCCAGCAGCAGAGGTGTGATGGGGCGTCGCCTTCCCCTGATGGCTGGGTCACCTCCCGCCCCTGAGGGCTCCCGGACTGTGAGAGGGGGCAGGCCAGGCTGAGGGATCCCCCCCCAGCCTGGCCTAATAATCACAAGTCAATAAAAAATAATGGTCTCTCTGATGGCTGAAAGTTCATCACAGATGAACTGGCTAAGAAACTACTCTACTCTTTTACCTTAAAATTACATTCCCCAGAGGCTAAGCAGTGGCTGACCAGAACTATAAAATTACAATACAGCTTCCCTCTAAGACTATCAAAACTGTGTCCCTGAATTCAAATTGAAATAAATACAGCATGATACAAAACCTGAAGATATATTTATTTCCCCCACCTTTAACTGTTTTCCCACAAGAAAGGATAACCACCAAAGTAATCTTTGTAGGGTGACCCCCATTTGCTAAGGCCTCTCATGTATACCATGTGTCAAAATTTATAGAGCCTGCAACCTGGACAGGGATCGGGAGGACCTGTGGGAAGAGATCCCATACCCTATGTTGGTAGGGAAGTCCTACAGAAACAAATCTATGTTTACAACAGAACTCTATGGTTCTAATGGTCCCTCCCCTTAACTTCCTCTTCTCCTCAGTAAAAAAAAGGGGCTTTCCACTACTTGCGCTGTGTGCATGTGGCTCACCATGGCTGCATGTACTGGATTGCAATTCCTTCTTTTTCCTCAATATATCCTTTTTGGTGATGGAATACCTGGTTGGCTTCTGTTTACATTTGATACATGCTCTGTGTGGTTTGCCTGGGACTGCTTCCACCTCCCCTCCCCTAAGAACTGAAATTCAAGGCCTTGCCACAAGTCTTGTTGATGTCACATCCTATTTTTCTCTAGCTTATTTTCTCACCGTTTTTATTGAAATCTAGAAAAAAACTGATTCCAATGTCTTCATAAAATAGTACAAGAACTTGTTTTCTATGCTATCTGATTAAGATTTGCCATCTCCCTTCTCTGTCTCAGACTTATGGCAGTCAAAGAAGTCTACTTGGCAATATTTTAAGATAGTGAAGGTAAAAATAAGATAGAAATTTGTGCAGGCTATGTGCAATGGGAAATAACATTCTCATACTTTATGCCTTCATGGCCTGCTAAAATCTTATCTTTAAAATTAAACACTTACTGAATATTTGTGTTTGTTTAAAGTATTACAAATAGTAGTACATATGTCTCCTTTTTCTCCCATTGACCCCCCCCCCTACCCTCTGGCACATGCCCCCACGCCCTGCCCCTAGGAGCTGTGTCCATTGCATGCATACAAAGCCTTCAGTTGATCTCTAACCCCCGCCCCCAACCTCCCCTGCCTTTCTGCTGTAGTTTGACAGTCTATTCGATGCTTCTTTGTCTCTGTATCTATTTTTCTTCATCAGTTTATGGTGTTCATTATATTCCATAAATGAGTGAGATCATGTGATATTTATCTTTCTCTGACTGACTGATTTCGCTTAGCATAATGCTCTCCAGTTCCATCCATGCTGTTGCAAATAGTAAGAATTCCTTCTTTTTTATAGCAGCGTAGTATTCCACTGTGTAGATGTACCACAGTTTTTTAATCCACTCATCTACA